ATGTTTAAACTTTTCCAGAAGTTTTCTTTTTTCTTCAGTGACGGAAATCGTCCTTTCTCTGACTGATTACACAGCACTGCAAAGCAAGATATATGAAGGGCATTTTTGCCCAGACTACAAGAGATTTTCAATCTGCTGGTTTAGCTATGTGAAGCGGTTTGCTCTTTTTTAAGTCACAACATCAGAGAGCCACTGTGCAAACAATAGAAGGCATAAACAACATTTATGGAGGCATTTTTACCACACTCATTTCCATGGTATTGGAGTGCCAGGAATGGATGGCAAAGCTGGAGAGGGTTAGGATGGCTGCCCATACATATGTTGGATGAAGAAATACCTTCAGCCCCTGTTTGCTGTGCTTCCAGATGAATGCCATCAACATACAAGTACTAGCTGCTCCAGCTGGTGTTTTCAACAGCCTTATCCGTGGCCTGGTCCAGCCCTTGCTACAGTCAATGGCAAGACCCCCACCAAGCTCACTGGGAGCTGGACCTGGCCCTAAAGGTCTGGTTGCAGCAACAGCACCATGAAATTGTTCATGCTTGTAGTAAAGTAATTCTACACAGAGACAATCAAATGACAAGCACATTTTAAATGCTGGAAACAAGTGGAGAAACAAGAAGGAGAGAGCTTATTTTGTGGAAAGCCATTTGCTTTGTGTGAATTATTTACATCTTTCTTTTATTTTCTTTTCTGGGATGGCCCAAGCTCTTCAAGGTCTACTCTGATGTCATTTTATAACTTTATTCCCAACTACTTCTCAAACGATTCTAGGAAAACTGAAAAAAAAACCTTCCAGATAACAATCTCGTCTTTGTGAAACCAGAAAGTCTATTCTAGCAGATGGGCTCCGTGTTTGCCTCTGTGCATGCATGTCTCTGTGTGTATCTGAAAAGAAGAGGGGGAAAAGAACCTACCTTGACAATGGCCACAATAACTTCATTTTTACTATGCTTGGTCTATATTTTCTATGTTTGTTACTAGATAACAGGACTTCATTTTATTGTGTCTTAAATAACTACAATGAATTCATTTACAAAATATACTTCTCAGACTAGTTATCTAGCTAAAAAAAAAGGAAAAGCAATAAAGGATAGACCCCTGCAGCAAACTCTACCATTTCAGAGCCATGGTTTGCAGGAGAGCATTACCACAGGTACATGCCTGAGAAAACTAAACCCAGATTCAACATCCTTTAAAACAATCATAAAATTCCATTGGCTTCAGTATCTGTACCAAAGATCAAATCTCTGGTAGGGGCAAGTGAAATAGTCCGCACAATCTGGGACACAAACACCTAGGAAATATTGCCAAAGGTTCCTTCAATCACTCTTTTAACAAAGAATAAGAAAAATATCAGCAGCTTAAACAACTTACTCTAAATATATAAAACTGATAGAGGAAGTAATGGATAAACCTGCTATACCCCCATAAACTAATCCAAATTAAAAGGAGAAACAAACCAATCACCATTTGTTTTACATCACAAAAAAGATTAACTTCTCCCTCTAGCAGCTGAAGACAAAACAAGTAGCCACACAGTGACTATTTCTATGTATCGGACAGGCTCCAAGCTCATCTTGCAGAGCCTAACTCAAGCTGGATATGTAGGAAAACTTCTCTCCAAATCATCCTTTATTTTGATTAATTTGTCATGGACAATTCACAAACAGAAATCTGACAGATGCTTTCTTCTTTGAGAATTAGCCACTCTGCTCCTTTCCAATAAATCTTTACACCCCGCTCCTTTGACTTATTCAAAAGAACATATTGCCTTTTTTAAAACATAATGTAGCCATTAGCAAATCATAGCTATGCTGCCCCATTTCATTCCTCTCCATAGCATAAAGTGTCCCAAATGCTTTCTGCCTCCATTCTTTCCCATCCCCTCTCTCNAAATATCTTTCACTACCAGATTGGCATTGGCAGCCAGCCAACCAGTCAGCACTTTAGTTAGACAAGTGCTATGCTGATATGCCTAGATCTTTGAAGTGTCACACAACAAGTCCAACAAGTTAGTTTTCTTCCTATTTTAATACTTTTTGCAGAGGGCCCCAGCCACAAAATACATTTCCCATCAGGTTTGGGTTTTTTTTAACACAGCTCCTTTCTGTGCAAACTTCTGCTGACAACTTCCTTTTTGAAATGCTTTGACCTCTACGGTATTTTTGAAAATACGGCTGAGAGATGCCTTTGTAAATGATATTACATTATACCTACATTAAGTATACACCCCAGGAGCCCAAGTTCAGAAAGTCATGGTTGGATTGGTTAATACACTTTTTAATGAGCACTGATGTGACATGCTGCTTAGATCAAAGTGCAAAGAGCTGTTATTTGTCACTGCTTCCCATTACAGCACATTCTGAACATGGGCACAGTAATGAAACAAGTAGGACTGAGGATATTTAAAAAAAATATCATACATCAGGCTGAAAAAAACCATATCCTCAAAATAACAAAAACAAGAAAATAGAATACAAGTAAAAGACAAAGTGTCATTTTTAGCAAGTTGTTTCATGTCTGAGCCCACTGGGTATTGTTTTCATTTTATTTTATTACCACATCTGAAGCTGCACTGATAGTAAATCACAAGTGGAGCCTAATTTACCAAGTTGTCCAGTGGAGAAGTCATTGCCCTTTCCTCTTATGAAAAGCTGTTTGTTATGCTATCATGGGGGCTGTCACTTCCCAGGGGAGAAACCACGAGCGTCTGAGATAACTGACTTTTGGGAGAAATGATTTTTCTCAGGCGATCCCCAGCCTCATCTTTTTGCAGATAATTATGTTGCTTGATCTGCGGATGGTAAAACAGAAAAAGCCTCTCCTTTCAGATGTTGCTGCTTTTATACAATTATACTTTTACACAACTATACTTCAAAACTACTAGCCCTTCATTAGTGCTCACAGTGACACTGGCCTACCTTTTATATTTAGGTAAATAGCAGGTGAACTACATTAAGATACACACATGCCATATTACCTGTACGCCTGCCAAACATGTGAGACTCTTTAGGCTGACTTCTTCCACCAGGCAGGACTCCCTAGCAATAATCTGGTGCTCACGGCCAACAACAGGGCAATCTGCTTTCCCATACACACTGCCTTTCCCTGCTCCTTATAATGTCCATTTGCACACTCTTTTTTATGTCACTGATAACCCTGACAGGAACTTCTCTTAGGAGAGGCAACTGGCACATGCAGATCTGAAGCACATCATGGGACCTCATAATTAAGAAACATAGATGCTTGTACTGCATTTTGAGTGAACATTGTTGTTTTTCTTGCTCACCGCATTCACTTACTGAACCTGCAGATGAAGAAAAACTACTTGTGTGTCTCTGCCACTGCAGGATTGTTACAAGTGGCAAAATCAGAATTTTGCCCTGGATTAGTCCTGACAACAGGCAGGTGTATACACAATGCTTTTTTCCTAATGCACTGCATCTATGGCATGAATCACCTCCCTGCACACACCCGCCTCACAAACACCTCTGTGGCATCTACAGGAATTGGCTGATGATGAGCAAGCAACGTGGGGTAAGGATATTTCTACAGCCTTATCCAGTGTTAATTAACTATATTCATAGACATCTGTTTCTTGAAGGATGTTGCTTTTCTCTGTCAACTTCTATCCAGGTCACTGAGAGGATATCTGATCACTACAGGCTTGTACAGACCGCCACCAAGTGCTCCGGAAACCATCCTTTCTGGCTTGAAAGACATTTGTGTGAAGGCACAAGCGCAACACTGAGAATCCAAGGCACCAGAGCGCTAACTCTGACTCATCGCTTATGTGTTTCTGTCTCAGTTTTCTCCCTATGTAAGTGAGGAAGAAGTTTATTCTTCCCTCTCAAGAGAGTTGGAAGGAATCAACATTGTTTGTATTTCTTTTTAAGCACACAGCGTGTAAACACTTTAGCTCAGTTAAGCTGTTCAAAACTCAGTAATGTTGATTTTCTCAAAATTTCCTCCAATTTGTTACACATTCCTTGCCATAAGGCCCTACAACTGAGCCCACGAGACCAAACACAAGCTGGAAAACACGATGTCCCTGTCCAGAGGGTATCAATAATGAAAGTCCTGTGCTTAAACTCAGGCACATGAGTCACTCACATGTACATTAAGTTTTGCATGAGTGTTTGCATGACCAGGGCCCAAGACTAGACAAAAAAGCAAAACTAATCAACAGACATGGGGAAAAGCACGCAGGAGAGTGCAGCACCAAAGGCATCCTTGACATCCATTTTTAGCTTTTAAAATGCCTGATTTACGTGGAAAACAGCAACCACACAAAGGTTTCCTTTCGAAAAGAGGACGCACACGAACTTTCTTTCCCTCCAGCTTACGGTCGCGGCGGCAAAGACTCGCTTCGCACGGCTAAGGAAGCGGGATTTCGGCCCCGGGAGCCGCAACCCCGTCGGCACCTCCCAGCCGGCCGCCGCGGAAGGACCAGCCACCTCCAGCCCCCTCTCCCACGCGCTCTCCAGCACCCTGCGGGCACATCCCGCCCACCGCCCGATCGCACAGCCCTCGGGATGCCCGGTGCCCGCTCCGTCCCGTTCTGTTCCCTCCAGCCGATCCCGAGCGTCCCTTCCCCCCCCCGTAAGAGCACAGCCTGGGGCGCCCGTCAACCCAGCGGCGGAGACACCCCCACCCCGCCCCGCCCCGGGAGGAGTCCCCACCTCCCGGCCACTCCTCCTCCTCCTGTTGGAAGGGGAAATATGAAGCGGAGCCGTCGTAGCGCTACGCGGAGAAGAGTGGGGAAGCGGCGGCGGAGCAGCGGGCATCCCTGGGCACCGAGCGGCGGCCGAGCCGGAGCCCTGCCGGGTCGGAGGCGGCGGCGTGCGGGGCGGAAGCCCTGAGGAGGGGGAGCGGCGGCAGCGCCCGGCCCCGGAGGGTGCTCGGCGGCCCCCGGCCCCGCCAGCCGCCTGCCCCCCAGCGCCGGGCCGGGGGCTGCCCGCGGCGGCGCTGAGGCGCGGGCGGCGCGGCGGGAGGTGGCGGCGGCCGGAGCGCTGCGAGGCGGGGAGATGTCCGCCCCGTACGGCTGCCTGATGCGGTACCTGTTCCCAGCCCTGCTGCTGCACGGTGAGTGCGGGGCGGCTGCCTGCGGGTCTCGGCCCATGGGGTGGCCCGGAAAGCCGGCTGGGTTGCGAGGTTGCCCCAAAACCTCGCTGGGGCAGAGGGTCGCGGGTGGGTGCGCTTTCCCGTCGTGGCCGTGAGCACTGGGTCCCATATGCTCGGCACGGGGAGCAGACTGGACCTGTCTCCTGGCAGAGGAGCGGTCCGTGTGGATGGCGAGACCTCGGTGGCTCTGCCTACAGCGCTGTGCTGGCGGGACCCCCGCGCAGCGGAGCGGCGGCCGACCGAGGTGGGTGAAGCCGCGCCTAAAGAGCCCCGCTCCGAAGTGAGTGTCGGCGGATTATGTTGCACGCCTGTGACTGCTTGGATGGAGCAGCTGGTCCGGGCGCCTCACGCACAGTTTCTTTACTCGCCTCCGGGCAAGGGCTGGCTCTGCCGAACTCCAGGGAGTTTCGCCGAGACGCCCTGCGGGGTCCGCGTTCCACCGCTTCTTGAGAAGAGATCTTTTGCCATGGAGGTATTATCTGGAAAGCCTCCGGCAGCAGAGTGTGCCAGCCGCCGGGTCTTATGCCCAACTAAAATTGTTTTGCTGCAGAGCACAGAGACTCCGGGTGTTATTGCACACAGTCCCACTTTGACAGTCTCTCAGTTTAGCCCTGGGCTGACATCTCTGAAACTGCACAGAAGGCAAAATTTTACTGAGAAAAGGCATCCTGTTTAAACTTAAAAGTTCAGCTTGTAAATCGATTTTTATGCACTTAAATAACCCATCTTTCCAGAAACTTGGTGTTCTTCAAGAGGAACTTTTGAAAAGGAGGCTGTTTAATGAGCTGCTTAGGTATGTCTAACATTTGGCAGCCAGATTTGAAAAACCTGGGTGCGATATCGTTCTGAAAGTGTGACTCAAGCTACTCAGTTATAGCATCGTTTTGAAGAGTGTTCCTAATTCTGAAGTCCTTTGTAGCATCCAGCATTCTTCAGTTAAATTTCTTAGGACCCCAAGCTTGTAAAAACAGGATTTTTTTTTTTTTAACTGTTAAAATGCAAGTGACCTACATGGAATCAGTGGGATATCTGTGAGCTGGGGTAAGGATTTCAAAGCTATTCCTGGGGTTGATTTTGTGGGGCAGGGATTCTCTCTCTCTATGTTTGTACAAGTGCTAAGCACACAGATGGTATTTAATAAATAATAAAGAGCATGGGCTTCTGATGGTGTATTTTGTTTTGAGAAAGAAACAGGAGGAGACTCTGTTCCCCAGGAGGGGATTTTATACCCTTCTCACAGCTCAGCTATGAAATCTGGAGAGCACAGAAACATGTTTAGCTGATCCAGACCTGACGGGATGCCAGAGGTGTTCTTTAAAACTCTGTGATCTGAGATGTAGAATTTGAAATGGGAGGTTTGAAGTTAGAGGGTAAAGAGAGGAGGTGTAATTACAGGGTTGGACTCTCTGGCTCATCTGCTTGGAATTACAGAGCAGAGCTGAACCCTGGCTGGAGCAGGAAACAAATCAGGGCCAGTGATCAGATCAAAACAGCAGCTGCCAAAAGAGGATGAAGAAGGAAAATCATCTATTTCTTCCATCTGCAGTTATATTTCACCAAATAACATAAACCTGAGTTCTTGTAGGAATATATAACTCTCCACCTTGTATATAAAGACAAATACCTTGTTAATGTAGCAGTGCACAGTTTTGATCAGAGTTGCAAGTGTTTGGAAACTACCGTGCTCTTACAAACTCGGAAAAAATATATCAGTGGCATATAATGCACTGAAATGTAGTGCATGTAAATGTATTTACCCTGTTAGAATTAACTCAGTCAAGAGCTTTTCTTTCCATGCCATGGAGTCAATAGAAGCATCCTTGGGTCAGCGGCTAGCCCGAATTGGTAATATGTAAGAATAACCACCAATCCCAGGGAATTGCAGTGTTAAGCCTCTTTACAGCATGTGATGTTTTTCTTTTTTGCATTTCTATTGCATGTGGCAATTTAAGGGTTAAAATTGAGTGAGTGTGGGTGGGTGTTTAAGGATTTTTAGGGCTTAAAGCTTTGTAAAGCAAGTTAAAATGTCCTGTAAGGCTAAAGCTTCTGCTTTCATTATATTAAGAAATGCCTTCTTTAACATCACTGAATCAAAATTTGGAAAAACTTGTCCTCATTCATCAAAAACCTGTATAGTGTCATTAAAAAAAAAAAGGTTTGCAGCTGGAAGTTGTCCATTATCACTGTTTTCTTTGCTTAGACAAAAAGCCACAGAAGTTTCAGATGTCAAACACTAAGATCATTCAGCTCCAGAAAACCTGATTAATAAGAGCTATGTTCAAGTGAATTCAAAACAAATTTGGCTAATTTCTTTTGTAAATGTAAACTTTTTTTATTACAAATGCAGATGCTAAAAAGAAACTTTAGTCTATTTCCGATTATGCTACTCTTAGAGTAATGAATTAGAAACTTTTTAAAACAATTAGGTGATAACATCATGGAAATGGTACTAATAAAGATTATGAAGACAAGACTGATGGGCTTTTCAGAGCAAAACTTTGTGCTTTTAAAAGTTCTCTGGCAATATTGTTTAAGTTAGTTACATAGAAGTGTTTTATTTCAAAACCTTTTCAGGAAAGTAATAAGTAAATACATCAGAAGATATAAATACCCATAGCTATAAAATGAACATATACTGTACTCAGTGCAAAAGGCATATGTGATCTGTTCCCTTAGTTAACTAACACATTTCAAAATCTGGAAGACAATAAAGAGAAAGACTTCTAGCATTTGCAGAGAGAGTTATAAGATGGACTCAATTTTGTTCCCAATTTTGTCAGTGTAAACTCTTTCACTCATCTTTGTAGCTTGACCGGGGGCTAAAAGTGGCAAGATGTAGATGTCATCAACAGCAAGGGTAATTTTTTTTGTGTTTTGTAGGGTGTCTGTAGGAAGTCGGCTGCCATGTGATGAGGCCCAAAACTAGCCTCAACCACGCTGAAGGCAAATACCTTTAGCTAGTCAAATCAAGGGTAATATTTCATTATAGAGATGATGCTTTAAGCAAGGCTGATAGAGAGTAGGATTATATGTAGTAAGGATTATTAGCATTGTCTTTACTCAGGCACAAGTCCCATTGAAGTTAGGGGCAGTTCTGGAATAAATCCCAGTGCCAGGGTGTGGGTGGAGGACAGGGCAGATGTTTCTGACAGATGTTTCTTTCAAAGGGGGCAAGGCCAAACTACCATTGAAATTGAACTGCACTGACATCCCAGCACTGCACCCACTCATGTTGGTGGCAGAGTTCCCACTGCCCTGAAGGGTGGTGAGCTTTAACCCTTCAGGGTTTCATAAACAAGCCCACACTCTAGGCAGTGCTGTTTCACCCTGCGTGGGTAGCAGCAGCCATCCTAAAGAGCTTCAACTAAGCAGAGGTTATGGGCTGTGTAACTGGTGCTTGGTTCTCTGACCTCTTCCAAGATGGGGCATTGAGTAAGGACTGAGCTATAGGGTAACAGGGGACTCTATGATGGGCCTTTCAGGTTTGGGGGGAGTTACCTTTTAGCTGTACCTTCTAAACATACTTTAGATCTCTCCTCAGAATCTTCCATGCTCTGAAACATTCAATTTGTGTCTCTTCAGAAGCGTTATGTGGAAACTCTGTATGCACAAGAGAGGCAACAGATACATGTGAAAGGAAGTCATTGTCCTGTTTGCTTCCACGGCCATAAAACCCGGCTTTCCTTTCCCAACCCTTTTGTTTGTAGTTGCTAATTTAGGTCCCAGTCCTTCAAGGACTCTTTGAAGTTTCAAGTGCAGGGAAAACACTGGTAAACACAGATCAGGGCTTGGTAACAGGACATTATATTCTCCATGGCAATTATGTAAGTTTACTGTAGCTAAAGGCCTGTCATGGGCATTATCTAACACTACCCCACATCAAGAAAGAGCATAATCCAAATGTCTGTTTATTTAATTGTGCAGGGCAACTGCCCAGATAAGGAGAGCTATAAAGTTAATCCAGCCAATTATTCTTTATCTGTTGTGAGGTTTTTCAAGTTTCAGACAAGTTCTAACTTGAAAAGAGATTGCTGCAGGAGTAAAGCATGAATGTTAAAATGTTTCTGTCAGAGATGAAGCTATCACATACTTTGAATTTGTGCTATCACTCAAGGTTTTTTAATTCATAATAAAATTGTGCTTGTCTGTATTTACATTGCTAGAAAGTAAAAGAAAAAAAGAAAGAAAGAAAGAAAGGTGAAGTGGTTCCTGCAGAGCAATCCCAGCCTAAATCCAGGTTTGAATCCTACTTTCAGGTAACATATATTCTCCTATTTAGCGAAGGATGAACCTGCTGAACACCTGGTAGCTTTGAAACTGGTTTGAAGTGCTACACTTGGACATGTTTGAAGCCATGGCTTAGATTCTGGTAGAGGTGTTCATTAAACTGATAAAATCTAAACAGGTTAATATTTAAGATTATTTGCCTTATACTTTAGCAGTCTGGCATAGCTGTGAACAGAATTTGGCCAGGGTATTTAGGCATGAATTAAATTAAAACTATTTGTGTTCAAGCACAACTCTGCTTGAACTCAATGTTATCTTTGTTGCAATTGTATTTGCATACTATTTTGCATACTATTTTAAAGAAAACCTAAACATTTATTCTAGCAGCTTGCAATTTTTTGCAGAAATGTTGGTGGAAAGCTTTGCTGTAACCATTTTTGAAACACGTTTGGGTAACGGGCTGCCGACAGATTGCCCTTTTAAGAGTTGTATTTTACTCGCGGCTATGTGCAGAAATCTTTGAAGAACTTGAAAGTAACCTATCTTCCCTTAACAATTATTTTTATCTTCAATGGTTGTTCCCACATCAGATAGAGGTTTATAAGCGAACCTGAGAGCCTGAAGCCCTCTGTCTGGTGTGGTGCATGCTCCTATCCATGTCTTAACCGGAGTGGCAGCTGTACAGACCTCCACTTTCCCACTCAGATGGATGTTGCATTCTTCCCCTGTAAAGTGTGATCTGTGAGGGCCTGGGCATGGATCCCCAGTGAGCTGTAGCACCTCTCATGCTATATTCAATTAGTTTCATGCTAAAGCTGTGACCTACACTGCTAGAGCTTGATTTTGAAAGAGAAGCTGGATATCAGCTCATCATAAAATGGTTTTATTTTGCTTTGTTTTTCTACCTGGCATTTCTGATGGATTCTGGAATTTTCCTTTTCCTTTTGGACTTGATCCTTTGTGAAAACAGACACTATGGAGTGGGTGATACAATCGTATGATCTCTGGTTGGGGTCTAACTAAAATGAGAGCCAACCACAGGCTTCACGAAATTATTGCTGTTGGTCTCGTGCAGAGATTTTTTTGTTTGTTTGTTTGAAGTCTGTCACACTTTTGAGTAATTTTATGGTGTGTGGATTTTGTTTGGGTTTTTTTTTTAACAAGTGGGTAAGATTCCTTCATAACACACAAAAATTTAAACAGTCAGTCAGAGTCTGAGAAAGTCTCAGTTGAGTCTGAGATGCTCAGTCATGGACATACTGAAACCTACCATCTGTCAGTGCTGTAGGGAATAGCGGACTTGGATCTTCTTGAATGAAAGTAATGGCTCCAACTATGTTGCAACTGCATCTATGCTCCAAAGTGGGCTTCTAAAGACTCATGAAATCCTTTTCCCAGTTTCGTGAATGGCTGTTTTAACGCTGAGTCTTCCAGCGATGTCCCATTTAACATGCCCAAATGGATCTTTTAAAATTAGTGACATCATCCCTGCAGGACCTAATTTTTGCAGAACAAAACCTCGTGTGCACTGCCAAGGATGGAGCAGGGGGACACTGCTCTGCTTCTGAGCACCTGTTGCGAGGAAAAACACAGGAAGATGGTGTTTGGTTTACTGCTCTGTGTGGGAAGCATATCGCCGGTCTTGTGTTTGATCTGCAGATGGCACAAGAGGAAGTTGTGTCTCCTTTGTATGGTAGTTATATCTACAGGCATATGTCAGTAATTACAAAAGTGTTGAAATGATTACTTTGTAAGGAAGTAAATTAACTATTTCCTTGCTCTAGCAAGGCAAACATAGGTAAAGGTCACATAGCTGTCTCTTAATTTTACACTGTATTTCATATTCTGATATTTGGGTCCTATTGATGTAATGTTGCTTAACATTATTGAGAGCAGCCCAGAGGAGAAAGACTTGAGGGTCTTGGTTGATGAGAAGCTCAATATGTCTTGGGAATGCGTGCTTGCAGCCCAGAATGCCAAATGTATCCTGGGCTGCATCAAAAGCAGCATGGCCAGCAGGTTGAGGGAGGTGATTCTGCCCTTCTACTCTGCTCTGGTGAGACCCCACCTCAAGTACTGTGTCCGGCTCTGGGTTCCCCAACAGAAGAAGGACATGGACCTGTTGGAACGAGTCCAGAGGAGAGCCAAGAAGATAATCAGAGGGTTAGAACACCTCTCCTATGAACACAGGCTAAGAGAGCTGGGGTTGTTCAGCCTGGAGAAGAGAAGGCCCTGCTCTAGTAGCATGTGTCCCTGCCCATGGTCGGGGGGTTTGGAACTGAATAAACTTTGTCTCTTCCAACTCAAACCATTCTATGATTCTCTGTGTGTGTTTTCTACATCTCTCCCTCTGTCTCTGCAGCCTTCATTATGTTCTTATGCCGGTCTTGATTACATAAACTTGTTCTTGCCTTCATTTGTCACAGTTGGATGGACAGAGTCCCAAACAAATACCCCCTTTTCAGGTACAGGTCTCTAGGGCTATTGATGCAAATCTCCCCCTTCTGTTCACTGGTTGCAGTTTATCATTTTCAAGTTGCAGACAGAACTATGTACATGTAACATGAAAAGCTGGGACACAATTGCTTTTTAAACTTTATCAAAGAGAAGATAGTGTATAATACCACATAAAGTTTGACTCCTTTTCAAAAACTCCTTCTTTTCATTATTTCCTTCAGGGAATAATTGAGAATGTCTAATGTGGTCACTGTGTTTTCTTCTTTGATATGTGCACATATAAGATGCTATCCTCCTACAGAAGGATTTTTGCTTGAAGAAATTAAATGCCCAAGTATGCTTACATGAATAAATCATTTCTATTCACGTATTCATGAATCATATGACATGAGCTAGGCAAAATAAAACTGCTTAAAAGCAAGTAGTATAATAAATATGCCTTGGAAATAGTCACTTGAACAATTTCAAAACCTCCTCTTGGTGGCAGATTTCAAATACTTAACAACTTCAAGAGGAAATGTAAATTTTCAGTCTTTTCCAATATGAGAAAATGTATCTGCAGGAGACATCCTGTTGAAAGTTAGCACTGGTGGCTACAACTTCTGCCAGGTACCTTGCAGGCATCAATTCTGATCCAAAAGATGCTCTGAGCCTGGGTAGTCAGCTCAAGCAGAGCATCACCCTACCTTGGCCATACCATTTCTGATGCTGCTTTACCATTTCTGGCTGCAGAATAGGAGTGGTTTGGTGCTAACATGAGTGACTCTGCTCAGCAATGTGGAAATACCTGAGAAGCCTTGACTTCCAGAAAGGGAGAAATACTGACCCCCTGAAAATCAAGCTTCTTGGAAGGGCATCTCAGATGGCATGCTCAAATATCAAAGCATCCCTAGTATTTATTACCATTTAGAAAGCAAGGCCATAAATCCTCATTCACATCGAAGAATTGTTTGTAACCTGCAACAAAGCTACCAGATTTTCCAGTAGACTTTGTGAGGTTGTATTCATTAATCTCATTAAATCTTGGAATCATTTGGTGGTGAGCACTGTTTAGATTCAGGTATTTATTGTATTCTTTCTGGTTGTTCTTTACCCTGTCTACTGGATAAGTCCTTGACTCTCTTTAGCTTAGGAATTGCCATTTTTAAATGGTTGACATGTATTTATATTTTTAGCAATGCCATTTTCCCAGGTGTTACCCAAGTTTGTTCTGGAAGATCTAAGACCTAGCCAACAATGAATCACTGACACCTGTTTTTTTGTGGGGTTTTTTTTGGAGTAGGAAATGGCAAAGGTTTATGACAGTGCCTACTTAACACCAAATAATACTGATTTATTTTTTTTGTAATTTCTGTAGTGATGCTGCACACAGCCCAAGCATTTGCCCAAGTGTTACATGGGGTCTGGGACATAAAGTGTAGGATCCTGTCTTAGGTGGCTCGGCACGGTGTAGGGTTGCACCACACACTGATGATACCCAACTGTGCAATTTTTGAGCCTGGTCATCTAAAAAGGGACTAGAAAAGATGGGCATCAATCCCAGATGCTGCCCCTGAGAGCATGGTTCAGCAAGACACCCCTTTCCTGAGATGGCTGCCCAAACTTCCCAGGCACTCAACGAACTGCTCCATCCACCCCATATCCATTTTCTAGCCCTCTTTGGTACTCATATTCCTTCTGGCAATGTAACACATTTTCCAACACTTTATGTAAGGTTTGTCACCTTTTAACTCCTAGATGTGTGTTTTTCTTTTGATCCATGTTTTCAAACATATCTAAGAGCAGGCTGTGCCTAAAAGAGTAAAGACACATTCCTTTTCAAGCTATGTATTCATTTTGTTAAATTAATATTGCGTAGAGAGCATGCTGGTGGATTTTGCATGTATACATTACTAGAAACCAAAATTACTGTGTGCTGGAGATAAAGTTAGCTTCTGAAATTCTTTTTCCCCTTTAAAATAAAAATAGCAGAATCTGCCTTTAATTGACCACCTCAGACATCACAGAGGCTTCCTGTGTGCAGAGGCTTTGCTTTTAATATCTGTTTTCCCTTGACTTTTAAGAGTAGTCTTTATTTGCAAGTTTATTATAGAAGCGTTCAAATTAGAGGTGGGCTGAAACCGCAAAGTTTATGTCCGGACCTGGATGCAACTTTCTAAGAGTTTGAAGGTCCGGGTTTTTGATTGTTCTGACCAGAGATTACAGAGGTGTCTACAAAATTCATTTTCAGAGCCACATCTCCTGGGTGTGGAAACACAACACTTTGCTCAAGCTCTTTTCCCTAGTGTATTTCGTAAAGCAAATTTATGTAGTGGAATATTAGTGGTCTGACAGAAAGGGAGAGCTTCCTGTGAGTTTTTTTCAGACGAGAAAAATAAATGTAAACAGTATTTGTCCAGAAACTTAACAACCCAAACAAATGTTGTTCAACTCAAGATGTTCACAGTCTTTTTTATCATGTTGAAGCCCTTCTCAGCAGGGTCTAATGATATAATTTACACTTTCTATCACAGGGCTGGGAGAAGGTTCTGCTCTTCTTCACCCAGACAGCAGGTCCCACCCTCGGTCCTTGGAGAAGAGTGCGTGGAGGGCTTTCAAGGAGTCACAGTGTCATCACATGCTGAAACACCTTCACAATGGAGCTCGGATCACTGTGCAGATGCCTCCCAATATTGAGGGCCACTGGGTCTCTACTGGGTAAGGAAAGATAAAACAAGATGCTGGAGATGGGGAAGAGAAGAGGGTGAAGGAACAGAGAGGGAAGGGTGAATATTCCCACTTTAAGCAGCAGGGGAAATACTTTCTTTAATATGGTGATGCTCTAAATTCCAGATGCTCTCTATATGCTTATGCATAAAAAGAGAAGGAGTAGCATTATGTACATTAGAATAGCGTGCTATAAAGCTGTCTTGATGAATCAATTTATAATCTGGATTTTAAACAGCATGCTGTGAAATATCTTTAAATCTCTCTTTGAATAGGAAGAAGCCTACCAACTTGTCAAAGTGAATGCTTATTCAAACATAACATTGTACTGTATTTGTCTACATGCATTAGATCCATTGAATGAGTACTTGTTTCCAGAGCATGTGTCTAGCACAGGTTTTATTAGCAAAAGAAAATTATTAAGAAGCTGTATTTCGTTAGTTCTATAACTCTTTACACATGATGACTTGTAATTGAGAGAGCCATTTTACTTCCTGTGTCTCAGCAGACAATATTCACATCCTCATTTGAAGTGACTTGTAGTAGGAAAGACTGGGGTTTTTTTAACAGAGCGTATTTCAGGATGAGAGGAAATGGTTGCACCAGGGAAGGTTTAGATTAGATATTAGGAAAAATAATAATATGGCCAGTCTTTGCGAGCAAAGATTTGGGAAAGGTCATTGACCCTTCGAGCCTGCGCAGTGGATTTTTTAGGTGAGACCCAGCGTGCGCTGAACTGAGCCCACCCTTTAATCCTGAGGTTCATCTACCGGGGTCGAGCAAGCTTGGACAGTGGCAGTGAGGTCCCCAGGACGTAGGTTTGTTTAGAGTGACCTTCTCTTAGATGGATTGCCTCACAGGGCTGACGAGCTCCATCTGCCTGGGGGGCTGGGAATTGAACCCGGGTCGCAGCGGTGAGAGTCCTGCACCCTAACCACTAGACCACCAGGGGCCCCATTAGGAAAAAGTTCTTCACTGTAAAGGTATTCAGGCACTGGAATAGGCTACTCAGGGAAGTGGGGGAGTCACTGTCTCTGGAAGAGTTCAAAAGGCATGTGAATGTGGCCCTTGGAATGTGGTTTGATGGTGAACATGGCAGTGCTGGATTAATGGTTGGACTCAATGGTCTTAGAGGTATTTTCCAACCTCAATGATTCTATGAATCTATTTATGTTAAGCAGTGTAGAGATGACAAAGGGAACAAATTTGAAGGCACAAAAGGGCTTTCTACAGGAAGTGGAATTTAACTGCTATTTACACCTTCAGAAAAAAAAAAAAAAGAAAAAACCAAACCAAACAAAAAAAAACAAAACAAAAAAACCAAACAAACAAAAACTAAAACCAAACCAAAACAAACAAAAACAAAAACAACAAAAAAACCGCCCTGAATGGTCCAAATTCAAGCCAAGTAGAAGTTTTGCATTAACATCAGAAGTTTGCGTTAGCTGCCAGCCCTGTTGAATGTTTGAGTGGGAAAGCTGAGGACATGATCCTACATGTCCTCAGCAGACCAGAGCTCATGGAACTCACACTGAGAAGCTTCTACTGCAGCTTAGAAGCCAGTTCTTTGTTCTATTCCATGGACATACAGCACTTCACTTTCTGATGTTATCAGTCATTCTACTAAATCTACCATGCAAAAGAGGGGAATAGATGTTTAAAAGGCTGCTACTTTTTTCAGTGAAGAATTGATTCACATGGTGGTCCTAAACAAAAAGAAAAAGCAAAACATGATTCGAAGTATTTAAACCTAGAAGATAAAACCTTTAGTTATGATCACATTAATAACAGCAGAGGGAATTGTTGATTAATCAGCAGGCCACAGATGACTAGTTCCTGTTTACTCCCATTCATGCCAGGGGGGCATTAGCACCCAGGTGTCTCTGGGTCCGGGTCTTGTTGCCTGTAGTGTACATGATGTGCCACCTTGCTAAAATTTTGTTTCCACACTTTCTTTCTTTCTTCCAACAGCTGCGAAGTTAGAGCAGGCCCAGAGTTCATCACAAGATCTTACAGGTTCTACCACAACAATACTTTCAAGGCCTACCAGTTCTATTATGGTGGCAATCGCTGCACAAACCCCATCTACACGTTAGTTATACGTGGCAAAATACGCCTCCGGCAGGCGTCCTGGATCATCCGAGGGGGCACTGAAGCTGACTATCAGCTACGCAACATACAGATCATATGCCACAACGAAGCAGTAGCCAAAAGATTAAGCGAGTTGGTGAACCACACGTGTCCTGGATTTATCCCAGAAGACAGCCCCTGGGAGCAGGATGTGAGTTACGATTTGCTGAGAGAAGAGAATGGCTGTGAATGCACCAAAGCTCTGAATTTTGCCATGCACGAACTCCAGCTGATCCGTGTGGAGAAGCAGTACCTGCACCACAATTTAGACCACCTTGTGGAGGAGCTATTCCTTGGAGACATTCACACTGATGCTGCTCAGAGGAGGTACTATCGGCCCTCTAGTTATCAACCTCCCCTTCAAAATGCCAAGGTAAGTGTGTGTGTGTGTGTATATATGCCCTCTTTTTGAGATACGGGTGGCAAAGCCCAAATTACTCAGTTCTTCTGAGTAGTGTAACCTAAAATGTAGATGTGCTTATATATAAGCACATATAAGTGGTCCGTTGCAGCCTTACACTTAACAAAAGATCACAGAACTTATTTTGTGAGAATAGTAACTTTGCTGTGGTTTATGTGACTGCATCAAATATGCAAAAAAGTAGTCTGGTGAACTGAGGCCAATAAGGCCACTCTGAAGATGGAATCAAAAACTTGTAGGCAGAGATTGGAGTGGCTGGCCAGAACCGTGGCTGTAGGCTAGCAGCTGAGAAGAAGGTTTCATACAGACCTGAGAAAGGAGAAGAGGAACAGGCATCAGTGGATGCTTGTATAGCTGTGGGAGTGCCAGGGAGAGAGGAAATTGAATTCCATCAGCATATGAAGGTTGGGTGATCCATAACCTGAAGAGAAGAGGAAATTGGAAGGGGCAGCATGAAGGGTAAAAAACTAGTGGGCTGTGCAGGTCATGGATCCAGATGCAGGCATACACATTAATGAAATGAAAAACAGGTGAATTTTGAATGGGGCTCTAATTCCATTTGATAATTCAGTTTTCAGAGGGGCCTCAAAGTGCCCTCCACTTCACTGGGAAGTGATCAGCCCATAGTGAGCTAAATACAACTCAAACAGGAGGAGTAGACACTGATGGCCTATAACAGGAAGGCTGTCTATAGATCTTTCCTGGTGACATTTCAAAGGCAGGCAGCAATTGGAACCACATTGCCAGGTACCACTGCCACCAGCTGGGCGCTGCCACAGCATCACTTCCAGCTAATGCGTTACCACCATTTTTAATCACCTAGTCACGAATGGTTCAAAAATCAGCTACAGCTTATCAGCAATAGCAGGAAACACAAGAGGGGAAGGGAGAGTTTTGATGAAAAAGCCTTGGCTTTCCTTGCCATTCAAAACCATGGGTTGTGTCTGCCTCCTGTGAATATCAAATTTTAATAGTTCAGGACCTTTTGTGATCTGCCTTTATTAATTGTTTTATAGCCTGGCCTAGATATCATTTTAATCTACAGTCAACTGTGTTTCTGTATCAAAACTGTTGTCATTTCTGTCATTCTTATGCTCTCTTCAAATGACCACAGGCAAATTTAAATTTTCTTTTTAAATCTGTTTATCTTCCCAAAATAGAGAGTTTCAGGAGCAGCAGATGAACCACAACACAATCCTCATCAAAATTTTGATTTTCTTTAATTAATTAAACAAGCACATCGACTCACTTTACTTGTTTGGGAGTGAGGGTTCTTTGCTAAATCTCTTCCTTGAAGGTATCTGCTGATAGAAATTTTCAGACACCAGCTATATTGTATCTGTTCTAGAAAATATTGTGCATCTTTTTCTGACCACATGAACAGAGACAAAATCTTGATTTAATTCACTGTAGCTGAGTATTTTTTTCTGGTCTAATCTACTTGTCTTATTATGGGCTGACAGATAACATAGTAAATGCCTACACTTCCACCTTGTAGTAATTTCATTACAGTCAGAACAGTCCAATATACTCTCAGCCAGCTTTATGAAATTAAGCTTGTTGTCCAGGTCCGCTGTAATTTTAGGACAAACTGGTGATGATTCTCCTGCCTGTCTATTCTGCTACTGTAACATCTTTTTTTCCCTCTGAAATATAGCCCCTTTAAAATACAATTTTCAAATTCAAGGGATCAAATCTTGCATAAGAGGCCTGTTTCTTTGGACAGGTTAGCTAAATAAACAATGAGAGCACTGATGCTCTCATTTATGTTTACAAATCCCAATATTTCAGGCATGATCCAATCCATTCTGACATGAGTGGGTGACACCTCTATGTGGAAGAAAAGAGGAGGTTCAGCCTGCCTGCCTGAGTCACCTTACACACTGTTATCCTGCAGCCCCACATGTCCAGATGGTCCCAAGCACTCCAATCGGGAGAGCCTGCAGTGTGGATCACAGGGGAGACTTCCATGTCATATATTTACAAGAACTGGGGGAAAGGAAAAGTGATTTTTGGTAACCGGCTCTTGGCAAGCCTGAATCATTGAGGCTGAATTTATGACACTGGAAGCCCATTCGTAACAGTACTAATGGTGACAGAAAGTGCTGACACTGTAGAAAGCACAGCTTAACTCGGAGTACACCAAAATACATACAGATTCCAGCTCTCCGTGGTGAAACTGAGTAGTTTAATAAATGGGGCCCCCAGGTCCTGACTTGCAGGCTACTGCTCCACTCCGAGTTTGGCCAATTATGACTTCTGACAAGTTACATTACTTCTTTTTCTCCTGCAGACACTGTCTCCATGGTCTGCTTGGTTCCCACAATGTATGTATAGCGCATATATATATATGTATATATATATATACAGCATCTGGATTGCTGGGATACCACCAGTCTCAGCTGGAGCCTTCAATGGCAAAAGATGTGTAGGTTTAACACAAGTTTTGAGTGTGCAACAATGCAGCTTCTCTTTATGTTTTCTAGTGGGTCCCCCATGCACAGATTTGACATGAGATTTCTTTTCTCTCAGGAGAAGCTGGGCCTGCTGATACTAGGCTTTCAGCATGACATAAACAGCAATACCCCTGAAAAATGAACCTTTGCCTTAGCTGCCATTAAAGATCCCTGGGTGCTGATTTGTACCTAAGCATGAAGTTCTCTATACCAGCAGGTTCTCAATCCAGCTGTCTGACCTAGTGTTTGCCAAGTGGAAGAATAGTAACAGAAGTGCTTTTTTTTAAAAAAAAAAGGATCCAGGCAAACATACCGTTGAAAGGTTATAACCCTTCTTTTTTGAACTCTTTTCCTTTTCTAATTGTTGCTCCACTGGGACCCAGCTGAAAATGAGTTTAAATGCTAAATTGAGTTTAAAACTACAAGTCACAGACTCCTCTGGAAACTGGACACCATGAATAAATAGAAACGTTAAATCAACTTGTTTTTTTAAGGTTTCCACAGTCATACCAAGAGGTTGGGGAGGCCAGGAAATTGCCTCTGAAGTGAATCAGGTGTATTGTGTGGAATCTTTCATTTAAGGCTTTTTTCATTTCCTTTTTATTTATTTATGTTTTAGACTTATACAGGCCTGCCTAAAATAAGTTAAGAGGATTCACATTTTGAGTTAAATTTATAGTTAAACCTCTATATAGAAGAAAGTTCCACCCAGCTCAAGAGTTTACACAGCCTGTAAATTGGATGTGGTAGCCACATTCATTACTTGCATGGTTGAAATGAACGGTAATTAAAAGCAAATGATTGCTGGATATGTTAGGAATGCCAAAGCCCCATGATCAGGACTTTAAACAAATACAGTTGGACCTTATCCAAATTCCTGCAGTGATTTCACCACAGGATGGTAAATCAAAAGGGCTGTCCAAAAACCAGACAGCTTTATGCTGAGCTACAAATCTGAATAAATTCACAGATTATAGTATCTCAAGTGCTCATATAAAATCAGGGAGCTTTTAAAAACATATAATATGTCATTTCTTAAGGCTTTACAAATTCTCCTAGATAAGAGCATACCTTAAACAAATTCCTCCCGTAAAATACACGGAAGTTCCTGAGTGCAGATGATGAATAGATCACTATATAGATTTATCTTAGCCATTTCCTAACCTGGCTCAAGATATCAGTTAGGACTGACTGATGAATGGAGATGAACATCTTTGATGTCCCTTGGCGTTGCAAGTGTATCAAGTGATTCAAGATATTGCCCATGAAGCTTCTTCAGCCAGCATGAGAGAACATATGGGTGGAAAGGGCAGGCTGGGGAAACTGCTTGGCCATCATTATGTATACTACAAAAAATGTTCCCAATTAGGATGACACCAAGGAGGCTGCATGATTAGTTGTAAAATCACAAATGTGTACAGGGACTTGTAGCATGAAGGAAGGCTTGAATGCAGTATTTGTTCACTGTGCAGCACAGAAGATGTTTTCAGAGATGTCTGCTCCAAGCTACAGAAAATGTGTACAAGAGCAGTTCTGGGAGACTTATTTCATATGTAATTGCCTCAGTAATATTGCTTTGTAAACAAAGAACTCCTTGAGCTATTTTATCATTAGCAGAGTAACGGGAAAGATCAGAGCAGGACTATGACAACCGGTCATTCTAGTTAGATCATTGCTTAGGAATAAGACCAGAGTGGTCTGGAACATCACAGGAAGCCTAAAAAGTGCTAGGATAACCTTCGCTCTTTGTCATGCTCAAACATTTGCTGGCCACACTCTTTCAGTAGGACATTTTCCCTTGAAAATGTGATTCCAGTGGATTAGTTGTCTTTTACAGGTTTATTCACCTCTGGGAGCTGACTTCCAGCAGCACCTTGCATTTGCAGCTAATACAGATTCAATGTATGGAGACTGGTGTCAGGGCTTTCCTTTAGCCAGGTGGTGAAAGAACAAAGTGTGCAAAGTTTTCTGTGCTTTTCAGAATTTGAGTCTTCATCTCTTCGAAATGCAGTGACTTCATCTATAGGGGAATGTTATGTACTTGAGGAGCTCACAGGGAAATGCAATCATAAGTTAATAAATAGAAGTTCAACATGTGAAGTGCCTCAGAGAAATATGCAAAACATTATCTCAACCAAAAAGTAAAGTTTTGGCAGACAAAACTCCTTTGTTTGCCTGAGTAGTGCCACTAGACTTTTAGATTAAGCCAAGACTTGAAGGGTTCCTTTTGTTCATTATTACATGAAAAAGGCTCTTGGTTGGGGAAATTGTGAGGGGAAGCAAAGAATGTTCAAATGGGTTAATTCCAGGTTTATGAACAGTAACAGTGTGTGTTGTGCCCTGCAGAGATGAGAGAAGCAAACAGCTTCTAGCTGAGGTTGGCCCTTGCCGTGCTCAGCAGTGCTGTCGGCTGTGGCCCTGCTCCTTTGAAGCTGCCACATCTGCACTTACCACTGTCTGTTCTGCAACTCCAGTAAAAGCCTGCTCCAACACAAA